GCGAAAAAGGAGTCTGTGACACACATGGCGCCCCCCCCCCCCCGCCCAACAAAAACTCAGGGAGGGGAGGGGGAGGGTACCTCTCCCCGATGGGAGCAGGGTTTTTGGAGGAGGAACAACAATATAGTGATGGCAAGACCACCTTGTCACGTATAGGGCTGGTGGGATTCCATGCTGAGTGCCCCTGCCCCTTGTGCTCCTCCCTGTCCGGCATCCGCTGCCCAAGGCGCGACATGCAGAGGGGTATTGCGCAAGTTGCCTACGCCGTTCCGACGACCCCCCTTCAGAGTAGAGACGGCCAGGGCGTTCAGCAGACTATGCTGGAGCTGGATGGCTTGGGTGTTTTTTCACGCTGTCGAGGGCTCCAGAGACGTCCGTCAAGGTAGCTGGCGGTGCGCTCCTTCGGAGGACAATGCCAGGAGGTTGGAGGGGTGACGGCGGAAAGCGGAAGGTCTTTAGAAGTGCCGAGCACGAAGGAGAGGGCATGCACACGGGAGGAGGAGGAGGAGGAGGAGGAGGAGGAGGAGGAGGAGGAGGGAGAGGAGGAGGAGGAGGAGGAGGAGGCAGGAGGCAGGAGGCAGAGGCAGGAGGAGGAGGATGAGCAGGAGGGAGGAGAGGAGGAGGAGAGGAGGAGGCAGGAGGCAGGAGGCAGGAGGAGGAGGAGGAGCAGGAGGAGGAGGCAGGAGGCAGGAGGCAGGAGGAGGCAGGAGGCAGGAGGAGGAGGAGGCAGGAGGCAGGAGAAGGAGCAGGAGGAGGTGGTGTGCGAGGAGGAGGAGGTGGTGGGGGAGGAGGAGGTGGTGGGGGAGGAGGAGGAGGAGGAGGAGCGGAGGCGGGAAAGAGGAGGCGTAGGGAGGACGGACGGAGTTCAGGTGTGCAAAGAGTGGTTGATGGGGTTCGTCGCGGGGCTGCTTGAGGACTTTCGGGAGGCCTCCGGTGGAGGCTCTTTGGGGGGCCAGCGGTCGGCTCCTGGTGGGCTCTGTGGTGCTGGCTCCTGGTGGGCTCTGGTGGTGGGCCCTGTGGAAGAGCCTCCTCGAGGCACACCGGGACGGACGGGCGCTGCAGAATACAAAATCTCACCGACAAACCGCCGACGCGACGGCGGCTCCTCCGCGTCAGCGGCCACGCCCTGGTCGAAGACTGGGAAGCGTGCGCCGAAGAAGTGGCCGGAAGCCCTCCGGTCGGCTCATGGTGGGCTTTGGTGGTGGGGGTCTCTCGAAATGGCTCTCAGGGGTCTCTTAGTGGACTTTGGGGGGCCTTTCTGGGAGCCTTTTGGGGGCCTCTCGGAGGCCTCTTGGGGCTTGGGGCCTTTGGGGAGCCTTTTGGGGGGCCTCTTGGAGGCCTCTTCGGGGCTTTGGAGCCACGGGGGGGGCGGGGCAAGGCTCGAGATGTCAGCTCGTGTTGCTCCTCTTCGGCCTTCCTTGGAGCCCTCGTGTCGTGGGCCGTCTCAGGGGCCCTGGGGCCCGTCTGGGGGCCCTCCTGGGGCTGTCTTGGGCGTCTTCGGGTCCTCCTGGGGGCCTCACTGGCCGTCTCGGGATGATCTTGGGGGCCTCTTGGCCCGTATTGGTTTCTGAGAAGAGGAGTATGGCTGGTGTGGCGCACGTCATCCAAATTAAGGGAGTAAGGCGATGTTTACGTTTTGTGGCCCTCGCGGCGGTCATTGGGGCCGTCCCGGGGGCCCCGTGGGGATGGACGGTCTTGAACCCACCTTAGACCGTCGCTGGGTTGCCCTGGATCGACTCGACGCTCTTTTGGGCTGTCTCTGTACTCTGTTTGGCCCCTCTTGGGCCGTTTTGGGGCTTGCTGGAGGCTCCAGAGAGCCCCCCGGGATGCGTTGACAAGCTCGTCCCCTAACCCCACCCCAGCATGGAAATTCGGACCTGGGGGGAGGGGGAAGTGGGGAGGTCGACAGCCAAATGTCTCACACGCCTTTTCACCCCTGGCAAGCGGGGTCGGCGGATAAGGTAAGTTTTTGTTTCGTTTGTGCGTTGTGTTCGTTTGGCACGCTGCATGATGAGCGACTGAGGAGGACCACTGACCAAGCTGACAGGACTACGAGCGGATCGCCAGCTCGGTAGTGCCTTAGGGGTTTGAATACATGCTGCCCTTTTGGCCACCCTCTGCCAGGGGGGAAACTCAATTCGCAGCTTGTTTCCAGGTGTAGCTAGGGCAAGCCCTGCCATGGTGAGAGAAGCAGTTGAACCGTCCCAGAGTGAGTGGGCGACCATTGCATGCACCCCGTGGTACACTGATTGGTCAAAGGCCCTGTGTTGAGCACGGTAGGCCTTCGACCACCACTGACTTTCCCTTCTCGCCTGCCTGTCGACCTCGGCACGATGGGGTTGCCTACCCTGCGTCTTTCCGGGGTCGAGGGACACCATGCAAGAGCGACGTAGGGTGTTCCTTTTCCATGTATTCTAAACTATAAACGCTCTGAGCGTATCTTGCTGAACCTTGCGCTCCAGAGGCAGGATCACCCTGGCAGGATATGCCCAGCCAGGTGTGGGGCGTCAGCCGATGATCGGGACCTGAATTGCCGTCGACGGAGAAAAAAAGGAAGGAGGCGTAGGAACAGCAGAAGGGAGGATGGAGGAAGGAAAAATAAGGACAGATGGACGACAGGGAGAAACGACAGGAGGATGAAGAGGACAAGGATGAGGAGGAGCAGGAGGACAGATGAGGGAGCAGGGTGCAGGGTGGACGGAGGAGGGAGGGAAGGAGGTAGAGAGGCGGGAGGGAGAGAGGGAGGGAGGGAGGGAGGAGGAGGAGGGGTGATGACGACGACGACGACGACGACGACGACGACGACGACGACGACGACGATGATGATGATGATGATGATGATGATGATGATGATGATGATGATGATGATGATGATGATGCTTACGATGATGATGATGCTTACGATGATGATGATGGTGATGATGATGATGATGATGATGATGCTGATGCTGATGATGATGATGATGCTATGACGATATGATGCTGATTATGATAATGATCATGCTGACAGTTACTGATGCTGAGATTGACGATGTTTATGATGGTGGTGGTGGTTATGCTGATGCTGGTGTTGATGTTGATGTTGATGGTGACGATGATGATGATGATGACGACGATGACGATGACGATAACGATGACGACGATTATGATGATGATGATGCTCATGATGGTGATGACGATGATGATGCTGCTGCTGATGATGATGCTGGTGATGATGGTGATGGTGATGATGGTGATGATGCTAATGCTGATGATGGTGGTGACGGTGAGGATGAGGATGTGGATGTGGATGATGATGATACTTATCTTGATGATGATGATGATGCTGAGGATGATGTTGATGCTGATGCTGATGCTGATGATGCTGCTGATGAAGATGAGGATGCTGATGGTGGTGGTGATGATGATGTTGCTGATGTTGATGCTGATGATGATGATGTTCATGATGATGGTGCTGATACTGATGCTGATGCTGATACTGCTGATGATGACGATCATTATGATGCTGGCCGGTAGTGGTGGTGGTGATGATGATTATGACGACGGTTTTGTTGATGATTTTGATGATGATGATCATGCTCACGATCATTATCATGATGATAACGATCATGATTATGATGATGATGCTGATGATGATGATGATGATGATGATGGTGGTGACGATGATGATGGTGAGTGTGATGCTGCTGCTGATGCCGATGCCGATGCTGCTGCTGATGAGGATGACGATGCTGCTGCTGTTGTTGATGATGATGAGGAGGAGGAGGAGGAGGATGGTGGTGGTGATGATGAAGATGATGGTGGTGATGATTGAGATGATAATGATGATGATGATGATGAGCCCAAAGCTGAAGAGGATGTGCTTGAACCCTGGCCAGAATGGATAAGAAGAGCTACGAGAACGGTTGAAGACAGAGCCAAAAAGCTGCAGCTCATTGATTGGGTGGACAGCCAACAGCAACGTAAGAAGAATCGGTTGATTCGAATAGCTTCCCTGGGGAATGTTTCTTGGATGCAGAAAGCTCTACTATGGAACCCGTCGGAAAACATCGCGTGTCAAGCACGGCGACACCCTGGCAGACCAAAAAAAATGGGCGGACAATCTCTTGCAAGAAGCGCGGCTTCAGACAGGAGACCCACATCTGACGTTAGAAAGGATGTTGGCAATTTGTGTACATCTTACTTGAATGATTCTCTCCGTCTTTCACATTTGTACTGTTTTTTCCTACTTGCCTCCTTACTGCTCCTCTCTCCCTCCTTGCCCTGCCAATGATCTACACACCTGTCGCGTTTCACTTTCGTCCCGTTTCACATTGATTGATCGATCACTGGGCTGTGCAGCTGCGCGGCGCCACGGCGCCAACTTGCCGGGGTCCCGCCGGCCCTCCTATGGCAAGGCTTATACCGATGCCGGATGATGATGATGATGATGATGATGATGATGATGATGATGATGATGATGATGATGATGATGATGATGATGATGATGATGCTGATGCTGATGCTGATGCTGATGCTGATGATGGTGATGATGATGATGATGATGATGATGATGATGCTGTTGATGCTAATGATGATGGTGATGATGATGATGATGGTGATCATGATGATGATGATGATGATGATGATGATGATGATGATGATGATGATGATGATGATGATGATGATGATGATGATGATGATGATGATGATGATGATGATGATGATGATGATGATGATGATGATGATGATGATGATGATGATGATGATGATGATGATGATGATGATGATGATGATGATGATGATGATGATGATGATGATGACGATGACGATGATGATGATGATGATGATGATGATGATGATGATGATGATGATGATGATGATAATGGTGATGATGATGAGGAGGAGTAGGAAGAGCAAACAGACAGGAGGAACCAGAAGGGAGGGCGGATGAAGGAGGATGTAGGCAGCGCCAGTGTCGCCGCTGGGGTCCCCAGCGATCCCCCGTGGGCCGCCGCCAGGGCGATCAGTCCCCCGCCGAGAAGGGGAGCCCACCCGAGGACGAGTCGCGTCGTTTTCGTCGTCGTCGTCGTTTCTTTCGTCGTCTTCTGCCTCCCCCTGCTCGTGCTCGTCGTCTTCGTCGTCGTCCTCGTCGGCGTCGCCGTGTGCGTCTCCGTCCGTGTCTGCGTCTGCGTCTGCGTCTGCGTCGTCGTCTGCGTCGTCGTCGTCGTCGTTCTCCTCCTCCTCCTCCTCCTCCTCCTCCTCCTCCTCCTCCTCCTCCTCCTCCTCCTCTTCCTCCTCGTCGTCGTCGTCATCGTCATCCTCTTCCTCCTCCTCCTCGTCTCCGTCGTCGTCGTCGTCGTCCTTTTCGCCGTCGTTTGCCGCCGTCGTCATCCACGGTTGGGCTCGACGAATTCCACCGGGGCTGGGCAGGGGGGGTGAATTTGGACCCCTCACAACCCCTCCTCGCCCTCCCCTGACAAGCGGGTCCCGAGGGCAGCGGGCCCTGAGGTTCTCCGCTGCTTCTGGGCTCCCGGGGCCCTTCTCCACGGGCCCTGGGCCGCTCTTCATAACGACTCGGGAAAGAAAGCTCGCCCTGGGGCCTGGCGGCATCCGAGTTCTAACGCCGGTGGTTGAAGCACGTTGTGCGCTCCCGTCTTCTCCCTCCCCCCAAGATGAGGCTCGCCCTGGGGAGAGCCCCCGAGGTCGAGGACTGGTGCTCCTCGGGGCCCACCTCCTCCATGCCAGAGGAGGCGGGCCCGTGGAGGTTGTTCTGGTTGGCTGTGCCTCGGTGTGATATGCGAGTCCGCGTGCCCAGTGTTTCAAGGTATTAGGAGTGTCAGGTAGGCCGTGCTGCCCTTGGTTCTGTTGCATCTTCGGGGGACCTCGCCTGTCCCAAAAATCGGTGTCTTTTTGGGGGCCCGACGCGGGCTCGATGCGGACTCGACGCGGATTTGGCGTGGATTCGACGCGGATTCGACACGGATTCGACACGGATCCGACGCGTCCGACATGGATTCGACACGGATTCGACGCGGACAGGGCCGCGACGGGACAGACAAGGTCCCCCGAGGATGCAACATATCCTTGGGTGCTGTTTCTAACTGCCCGACGGCCGAGCGCAGGGAGTAAGAGGGCGTCGAGCAACAGATCGGCGGCGAGCGAGGGGGGGAGGGAAGTGAGAATGGTGAGGCCTTCTCAGAAGCTTGGCATCGCTCGGACGTGTGCATTTTTCCTTCGGCGGGGGCCATCGAGGAGCGTCCTTGCCCATTTGCCGAAAAAAACACGCACGATACCGACAAAAACACAGGGAATGGACGTCCGAGCGATGGCGAGGCCTTCTCAGCAGGCGACGGGACTTCCCAGAAGCCCTCGCGCCTTCCGAGAGCTTGTGGTCTGTCTTCGGGGAAGGCTTCGAAGAGTTCCCAGAAGCCCGGGGGACTCCGAGCCTTCTGGGAAGGCCTTCTCCTTCTCCCTTCCCCCCCTCGCTCTCCGCCGGACAGAGGGGAGGAGGGAACAAAAACACACACAGACACAATTAATCGTCGATTCCCCAGAAAATATGGGAAACTATGGGCAGTGGTGGGGGGAAGACAGAAACCCAGAACCTGTGGGAAACTATGGGGGATCCTTTTATTTGTGTGTAGTTGTTTGTGTGTCCTGGGGCCCCTTCAAGAGGGGGGGGGGGCCGAGAGGAGGCGAGGCGAGGCCAGGGGGCGCGAAGGCGGCCTCGCGCCGCCCGCCTCGGTCTGGGCCCGGGCGGCGGCCCTTCCCCGGGGGGGGGGGGGGGGGGCGCCGCTCGGGCCGCGAGGGTGCAGAGATCCCCGCGCATCGCGGGGCGTGATGCGCGAAGCCTCCTCCTCCTCCTCCTCCTCCTCCTCATCCTCCTCCTCCTTCGGCTCCTTCGGCTCCTTCGTCTCCTCCTCCTCCTCCTCCTCCTGCTCCTCCTCCTCGTCGTATCATTCGTCGTCGTCCTCCTCCTCCTCCTGCTCCTCCTCCTCCTGCTCCCTCCTCCTCCTCCCCCTCCTCCTCCTCCTCCTCCTCCTCCTCCTCCTCCTCCTCCTCCTCCCTACCCTCTCGTCCGTGCGGACTGCACGCCGATCGGCGGCGAGCCCGGGCCCGGGGGGGGGGAGCCGGTGTTGCTCAGAAGAACGACCATCGACATAAGTTACGTCATGGTCGATTGTTGTGCTGTCTCGAAGACTTCTTGCGACAGCGGGCCGCTGGAGTCCTTCACCAGCCGGTCAACGCATGCATCCCCCGATGCACGACGCACGAAACTTTTTGCACACAGGTTTTCGCCTCACACATGACATTGCGCCTGACCGTGCCCTGGTTGCCAGTCTCGCCAGATGCAGCGCGAGAGACCCCTCACAATCGTAACGATCGCCCTGCCTATGATGCGAACGGCGAGCACTGGATGTGAGAGGAAATGATCATCCCATGTGTGATCCATGTGTTCTGACATCTGCTCTGGGGGGCGTACCGGCGCATGCCAGAAGCATACCATAGGAAACGCTCCGAAATTAGATAGTGACAGACGGGTGGCGACGATGGCAAGGACAGGGATGATAATCGACGCTCCTGGGAGAAGACTTGCCGAATCATACTCTATATAATGTGGTTCGCACGCACCCCTCAAGTAAAATGCAGGTTCACTGCGCGGCCCTGTTGCGCACCCCTCAAGTAATTATCCCGGCAAAGCAACCTAACAGCGATGTGTAGGAGCATATTTGGAAGCATTCCCCTTCAGATTCAGATGAGAATCCAGTTGTAGAATTCTGCTGTTCTCGCAGTCGTAGTCGCATTCGCGATGACAGTCGCAGTGGCAACGGCAGTCGCAGTCACAGCCTCAGCCTCAGCCTGCCTCAGCCTCAGCCTCAGCCTGCCTCAGCCTCAGCCTGCCTCAGCCTCAGCCTCAGCCTGCTTCAGCCTCAGCCTCAGTCTGCCTTCAGCCTCGGCCTCAGCCTCAGCCTGCCTCAGCCTCAGCCTGCATCAGCCTCAGCCTCAGCCTCAGCCTGCCTCAGCATCAGCCTGCCTCAGCCTCAGCCTCAGCCTGCCTCAGCCTCAGCCTCAGTCTGCTTCAGCCTCAGCCTCAGTCTGCCTTCAGCCTCGGCCTCAGCCTCAGCCTGCCTCAGCCTCAGCCTGCCTCGGCCGCAGCATCAGCCTGCCTCAGCATTCAAAATGTGGCCCAGGAATGGAGTTCTGGGAACTAGAAGAACACGAAGTGGCCTACAGTTGGCTCCGGGCATTCAAAATCATGCCCAGGAATGGAGTTCTGGGAACTCGAAGACACGAAGTGGCCTACAGTTGGCTCCGGGCATTCAAAATGTGGCCCGGGAATGGAGTTCTGGGAACTCGAAGAGCACGAAGTGGCCTACAGTTGGCTCCGGGCATCCAAAATGTGGCCCGGGAATGGAGTTCTGGGAAGTCGAAGAGCACGAAGTGGCCTACAGTTGGCTCCGGGCATCCAAAATGTACGCCGGGAATGGAGTTCTGGGAAGTCGAAGAGCACGAAGTGGCTTGCAGTGCCTACAGTTGGCTCCGGGCATCCAAAATGTACGCCGGGAATGGAGTTCTAGCAGCGCCAAGAGCGATTTTGCGAGGATGTCCCAAGCGATTTGGGCTTCGACGGCAGCCGCGCCGGGTCCCGCCCGGGGTCCCGCCCCGACCCCCCTGAGGAGTCATGATGCTCTCTTTTGACCCCACTAGAAACCTATCAGTCTTCGCTGTTAGGTAAAAATTCAGATGCGCTGCGCGGTCCCGCCGACGCACGGCCCAGCACTCCCTAGAAAGGGATGGCAGCGTCCCGCCTCCCTTTTTTCCTGCCTCCCTCGTCCGTCCTCCATCCTCGTCCCGTTCGTGCTCCTCGCAATCCTCCTCCCCCTCCTCCTCATCTTGATCCACATCTTCTTCGTCACCATCCACGCGCATCACCATCATCATCATCATCATCATCATCATCATCATCATCATCATCATCAGCATCAGCATCAGCATCAGCATCAGCATCAGCATCATCATCATCATAATCATCATCATCATCATCATCATTTCTTCCACCATCATCATCACCACCACCATCAACATCAGCATCGCCATCATCATGACCGCCACCATCATCATCATCGTCATCATCATCGTCATCGTCATCGGGGTTTCTTTCAATCGACATCATCATCATGATCGCCAGCGCCATCATCGGCATCATCGTCATCGTCATCGTCGTCGTCATCATCCACCTCCTCTTGGTTACCACCCGCGCCGTGACCAGCGCCCCCCTCCTCACGCCCTCATCCGCGCAGGGGTGGATTGCGGGGCATCCAAAAATGGACGCCCCTCAATCGTCATCAGCTTTCTCTTCTTCGTCACCCTCCGGACCCTCGCCAACATCCCCCTCCTCACCCCCTCATCCGTGCAGAAGTGGATTGAGGGGCATTCCAAAGATGGATGCCCTTCAAACGTGATCACCATCATTACCAGAACCATCATCAGCATCGTCGTCATCATCATCGTCGTCATCATCATCATCCACCTCCTCTTCGTCGCCATCCGCACCCTCGCAAAAATCCCCCTCCTCATCCACGTCTCCGTGGTCCACGTTAATCGCCTCCTCCGCCTCCTCCTGATTCTTTTGATCCTCATCCCCTTGATCCTCATCCTCCGGATCGCCATCGTCGTCGCCGTCGCCATCGGCGTCGTCAGCGCCGCCATTGTCGCCAATTCCCCCCCCGTTTTCCATCTCCTCCCCCCTCCCCCCGTTCTTCCTCCTTCCCCCCTCCCCCCTCTCCCTGCCTCCCCCCTTCCCCCCAAATCTGCAAACCCAGCCACGTGCAGCGGCGACGAGGGACTTCGACTCAGCTTTGCACTACAGGGGGAGGGGGAAAGGAGGAGGAGGGTGGAGGATGATGCTGACGATGGTGGCGGGGATGCTGACGACGATATTCCCGACGGCCAGTGTTTCAAGCGTGCTGGGCAAAACGCGAAGCGACGATAGGGGCAAATATCCGTTGATGCACGTAATCACAAGAGGGGTGGGCCTGTTCCGAAGGTCGAAAGCCCCCCCCGGCCTTCGGAGGAGTCTTCGGAACCCTCCCCGAAGGTGCAGACCGCGTGTTCGGAGGGCGCCGGGCCTCTGAGAGGTCCCGCCGCCTTCTGAGAAGGCCTCTTCCCTCTCACTTTCTCTCCCCCCTCGCTCGCCGCCGAGTATCGCACCGCGATGGAGCCCATTCCATTCCATTCCATTCCATTCCATTCCCCCTCGCTCGCCGCCGAGCGGAGTTGGGTGGCCCAGGGAGAGCAGGAGATAGGCGCTTTCGAACTCCCAGCGGGCCTGCGGAGGCCGCCCGCGCCCCCCTGGGCTGCGGGCGCGTAGGGTGTGCGCGTTCGTCCTCGTGTCCCGACTTGTGCTCCTCGTACCCCATTCCCGATCGTGATGCTGCTGCCGATGCTGGTGGTGGTGGTGATGCTGCTGCTGCTGATACTGATGCTGATGATGGTGGCGCTGGTGATGGTGATTGTGATGGTGGTGGGGGTGGTGATGCTGATGGTGATGAAGCTGATGATGCTGATGGTAGGCATGGTGATGAAGATGATGATGGTATGATGATGGTGATGATGATGGTGGTGATTATGGTGGTGGTGGTGATGATGTTGCTGCTGATGATGTTTATGCCGATAATGATGCTGATGCTGATGATGGTGGTGATGCTTCTGGTGATGATGTTCATGCCGAGGTTGATGCTAATCTTGATGATGATGTTGATGAGGATGATGACGATGAGGAGGAGGAGAGGGTGATGCTGACGCTGATGTTGATGCTGATGCTGGTGCTGGTGATTGTGATGGTGGTGAAATTGATGGTGATGGTGATGGTGGTGGTTGTGGTGGTGATGGTGTCGGCGGTAAAGACGATGACGCGAATGACGATGATGATGGTGGTGATGTCGGTGGTGATTGTGGTGGATAGTGAAGTAGATGGCGGTGGAAATGGTGAGGGCGATGGTCAGTGAGCGAGCGAGCGAGTGAGTGAATGTGTGCTTGAGTGAGTGAATGAGTTAAATGAGGTGAGGTGATATGACGATGAAGATGAGCATGAATGTGAAGATGAAGATGAAGATGGCGACGGGTCAGGGTTGGGGGCGACGAGGCGCGCGGGTAAGAAACCCAGAGTGGGCATCCACCCGCCCCTCATGGCCGCACGGGGCCGGTCGGTTTCTCCCACGGTCGGTTTCACCTGGTGGGTTTCGCCCGCGGCCAGTTTCGCCCAGTTGGTTTCGTCCTGTCGATTTCGCCGAGGTCAGAGCCCGTCGGTTTCGCCCAGTCGTTTTTTTCCGCGGCCTGCTTCGCGGTCGTCGTTCGTCGCCGCGGTCGCGTATGTTCGTTCGCCGTCGCGGGCGGCGTTGCCGTCGATCGGCGTCGAGTAGTCGCCCTTCGTTGTAAAAGGTCCCCGTGGTCGTCCTTCTTCCGACCCGCCCGGCAGGGTCCGCAGGCTCCTCCGCTGGCGGGCCCGCCCGCCCGCTTCAATGACCACCCCGCCCCAGCCGCCCGTCAGGGCCCCCCCGCCCGTGCCGCCCGTCTGCCCGCTCCGCCCGCCCGTTCGGGGCCGGCCCGCCCGAGCCCCGCCCCGCAGGGCCCCGCGCCCGCCCAACCCGCCCGTCAGCGTCTGTCAGCCCGCCCGCGCCCGCCCAACCCGCCCGCCCAACCCGCTGCCGCCGCGTCCCGTCAGGGACGCGGCGGCAGCGAACGCGACGACGACGGCGAGGAGCAACGACGGCGGCGACGACGGCGACTGCGCCGCCGAACTACGAGGGACGGCGGCGGCGGCGCAGATGACGGGCGGGGGCGACGATGGCTGCGACGCCGGCGACGACGAAGGCGCTGGCGGCGGCGACGGGCGGCTGGACGATCACCGCAAACGCAGCCAACTGCTGGCAGAGCCTGCCGCTGGCGCCACCGACCGCCGGCGAGAGCGAACGGAAACAACCGACCGTGGGCGAGCTCGGCCGCCAGCGAAACCGACCGGCTTGCGAAAGCGGGCGGGCGAAAGCGACCTCGGGCGAAGGCTACCCCAGCGACGCTGGCCCCAGCGAAACCAATCATTCGGGGCGAAGCCGGCTACCAGCGAAATCGACCCAGACGAAACGACCGCTGGCGATACCGACTCACGCCTCCCTCATACCCCCACTCTCAGCGGTAGACTTGTGCAGCTTTTCACCTGTGCCTCATTCTTGGTTTCTGGGCTCGTCGATCCGCTTTTTGCGTGAAAGCGTGAAAGAGGAGGAGGACCCATAGAACTACTTCAGACGAATCGATTTTTCCCAGGCGATGGCTCTGTAGCTGTTGACGTCTTTCCCGAGGCTGGTCCTGCTCTAGGGCCTGGAAGCGGCATCCAGGCGCCGAAAGACGTGGGAGCACACCCCAGGAGCTGTTTTTGCTCGAGGCGCCCGGAGACCGTTTGGGGGAGGAAGGGCAGAGATCCGATGTATTGTTTTTCCATACTGGGTTCACGACAGTCCGGGCCCATCCCAGGGCCTGCTTGAGTCGTTTTTTGAAGGTCCTGGAGCATAGCAAGAAGATGCTGAAAATGACGAAAAGTCGTAGCATTGAATTGTTCAAAGCGTTGGGGGTCCAGGGGGGCATCGCGCCCGAGGACCCGGTGGATTGCCGCTTCGCCGGCTCCCGGATGTTGAAGCGCGCCTACACCACCACCACGAACGAGGTGGTCGTCCGCGCCACCAGCTCCACCAGCCACCCAGAGGACGCCACGCGCGACCCGGATGCCCCCAGCCCAGACCTCCTGGTGCCGCTAGGAAGCCACGGCTGCCCGCTCTTCCTCCCAGACGAATCAGGCGATCGCAAGCATGGACCAAGGGCGCGTGGATTAGCCACGGGTCCCGTTTCCACGGGCAATCGCGGATTTCCGCAGCCGAACGAGGCCGCAGTATGGGGAGGGCACCTCTCCCGATCCATGGATTTGGCGACCGCGCGCCAAATCCATGGATCGCTAGTCCATGTTTGCGCGCCCCAAACAAAAAAAAACGGGTCCTGTGGGAAATGTGTCCTAAGATGTTTCGCCGTTTTTGGCTTCCTGGGCCCTCCACGGGCCTCCGACATTGTCAGAAGAAGGACCCGGGATGAACAAGCCCGTCTTGAGGGAAGGCCCTAGGGCCCAGGGACCCGCTTCCCTCCGCAGATGGCCCGAAAAAGCAGGTCGTTTCATTGTTTTCAGTTGCGTGGTATGCCTTCTCTCCTCCCCTCCTCCTCTCCCACCGCGCTCTTCGCGTTGCAGCGTTCGTTCTCCCGGCGGCCTTGCGCGGTTGCCGTGCCAGCGAGTCCTGCTGGATGTGCGGCTTGAGCGGAGCAGATGGTCACCACCCACCAAACCACCCCAACCCAACCCGAAGGCTCAGATTTACCATCGATTTCTAGTGGGGGGGGGTCGGGAAACATCGAAAAAACACGCGTGGAACCCTTACCCCCCCAACCCGAAATTCGGGTCGTCGGGTTGGGCTGGGGTGGTCTGGTAGGTAGTCAGATGGGGTCACCCTGGGCCGAGGGTCACTCTGGCACCCCCCCTCCGACGGGCGCGGACAGAGGGGGACGGGGGAGGGGCAGCCAACACTTTTCTGGGGGAGCGAGGACCGCCTCGTCTTCGGAGGGAGCGGGGGGTTCCTCAGGGCGCTCCTCCTCCTCCTCCTCCTCCTCCTCCTCCTCCTCCTCCTCAGGATCAGGACGGTTGGGGACGAGGAGGACGAGGATCGAAGCTGAACGGAGGATGCAGAGCGGCGCAGAGGAGAGGACAGGCAGGGCACACACCATCTCTCTTCTGCTCCCCGCTCCCTGCTTTGCTTGCTGCTTCCCCGCTCCGCTCGCTCGTTGCCCTGTCCCCTTCTGTCTCCTCTCGCCCCGTCTATGGTCGCCTGCCCTTCCCCGCCTTCCTGGGAGCGTCTGGAGGACACACGAGGATGCCTGTGCGCCAGCAACGCGAAGTGGAGTGGTTTGTCACAGCAGGGAACACAATGAAGTCATGGGGCGAGTCGGTCGACCGACCTGAGCCCGAGGGGCTGCGCGCTGCTCGGCGCGCCGACGGCTTCGACGGCAAGGGAAAGACTCGGCCAGGCGAAACTCGGCCAGACTGAGTTCGGCCAGCTGAACTCGGCCAGGCTGAACTCCGCCCAGGCCGAATTCAGCTTGGCGTATTTCAACCTGGCCGAGTTCAGCCGGTCGAGCTCAGCCTGGCCGAGCTCAGCTAGCCGAGTTCGGCCTGGCACAGTTTTTCCTGGACGAATTTAGCTGCTGTCCGGATATTGTGTTGCCTCCACACCAGCGGCGCCACGCCGCTAACAGGAGTATCACAACTGCCACCTTTCCACTTCCGCACCCCGAGCGCATTCCAGAGCGCCTCATCAGGGTCGACCGAGCATCGCCGCGTCATGGGGCGCAGGCCCGATTCGGCCGGTCTATGGTGGCTCGCGTCGGCACCGCCGCAGCAGCGGTGCACTACGCGTGCCCGTGGCACTGCTGCGAATGCCTTCTGCGCACGCATCAGCTCGGAGCTCTGAGTTTGCTGCAGCCCGCTCCGGAGCGAGCTCCTGGGCGTCGGATGCCACTCCGGCCACGTCCCTGCCGCGGCCTGCCGCGAGGCCCACCACTGCGGGTCGCGCGCCCTGGCCATGGGAGATGAGGCGCGTTAGGACGCTTGGCATCGCTCGGAAGTGTGCGTTTTTTCCTCGGCGAGGGCCATCGAGGAGCACGTCTTGATCACTTGGCGAAAAAAGCACGCACGAAACCGAAAAAAGCACAGGGAATGGACGTCCGAGCGATGGCCAGGATAGAGGAGCCATGATCAGAAGCAGCCACCATGCACCAATCTGTGCTGAGCTGACCTTGCACTGAGCAGCAACGCGCATTGTAAACAAAAAGCGCCAGAACGCAACGGAGCTGCACGCCTCGTGGCAGGCGGAGTGGTGGGCCCGAGCCCGCGTGAGCAGGGGCTTGCCGCGAGGCTGGACCTCGAGGCGACATGACGATGCCCTCCATGGCCGTCCGAGTCACGAGGAAGTTCCCGGATGATGGAGGATGGACGGAGGGGGAGGAGGAGGAGGAGGAGGAGGAGGAGGAGGAGGATCAGGAGGAGGAGAAGGAGGAGGAGGAGGAGGACAAGTGGGGAGGAGCAGGAGGAGGAGGAGGAGGAGGAGGAGGAGGAATAATAATAATCATAATCATAATCATAATAATAATAATAATAATAATAATAATAGTAATACTAATAATAATAATAGTAATAATAATAACAATAATAATAATAATAACAATAATAATAATAATAATAATAATAATAATAAGAGGAGGAGGAGGAGGAGGAGGAGGAGGAGGAGGAGGAGGAATAATAATCATAATCGTAATAATAATAAGAATAAGAAAAAGGAGGAGGAGGAATAATAGTCATAAAAATAAGAAAAAGAAGGATAATAATAATAAGAAGAAGAACAATAACAAGAAAAAGAAGAAGGAGGAGAAGAAGAAGACGAGGAGGAGGAGGAGGAGGAGCCCTTCCTTCACGGACGGGGCCCGACTCGATCCAATCGGCCATGCAGCTGCTCTTATGGACTTGCGGTTCAGGGTAGCCTCGGGACAGCCGTGCCCTCGGTTCTCCAGGTCGCCCGCGGGGGCGCGAAGGTGGTCACGCTGCGCGCGCCGCGGCGTGGGCCAGAGCGGCTGTCCTTCCCCAAGGGGGGCAGGGCGGCGGCGCGATGGCGCGGAGGTGGGGCGGCCCACGATCGATGCGCCGCCACAAGAAGGAGGGGCGCAAAAAACACAGGGTAGGGCCGCTTTTCCATCCCAGGGTAGGGCCGTTTTTCCATCCCAGGGGGCCACGTGCGAATCTGAGGGGGAGGGGGGGGGTTCACTTCGTTCGGGAGCTCCCGAGCGAAGTGAGCCCCACCCTCCCCCTCAGAAATCGTGGGGGGTAGGGGTAGGGTTCGCATGTGGCCCCTGACATCCCCTTCAAAGAACTTGGCATCGCTCGGACGTGTGCATTTTTCCTTCGGCGGGGACCATCGAGGAGCCTCCTTGATCATTTGGCGAAAAAGCCACGCACGAAACCGACAAAAAAACAGAGGGAATGGACGTCCGAGCGATGGCCAGAGGAAGGGTCACGCTCCGGTGCTCGGGCCGGTCCTCGGCTTCGGGTCGGGGAGAGCCCGCTCGCGGCCGAGGCGCGCAGTGGCCGGAGAGACGCCCTCCTCGTGCCTTGCAGTCCTCCCGCACAGGAAGGGCTGGGCACCCTTCCCAAGGGTATGCACATGGCTGAACGCGGGGCACAGCAGGCCACCCTCCACCAGCGCATCTGCACCGCTGGCGCCGCTTCAGGCACACAGCCCTTGGACACCTGGAGGCTGACTAACCAGCACCTTGGCACCTGAAGCATCTCCCTTCCTGATGGTACGAGCACGTGGGGCGCCCGCGTTCGCAACCCAGACCTCCCTCGCGCCGTGCAACAGTCGCGACGGAAGGGCCTTAGCACGCTGCGGCCTCCGTGGACCCTCACCAGGCTGCGGGCGGCCGCCCCCCCCCAAAAAAGGGGGGAACAAAAAGGATATACACATGGCTCATGCCTAATGTTTCGAGAGTTCTTCGATTTCTTGGGGGGCCAAGATCCTTTCATCTCTACCTCTTCTATCCTGGGCCCCCTCCTGGCCACCAGGGGGCCAGGAACAATTAGAAACGGGCACGATCAGAAATGAGCACGATTGGAAAAGAACGACGTGCATCCTTGCACCTTTCCCTCCTCGGTCCATCCCTTGGCCGCTTCTGTCGGCCGCGCCCCGCTCGAAAAGCTTCGAGGCGGCCTTCCGAGGCCCCTGCATCCCTGTCGCGCGTCCTCACCGTGCCGGTCGACTGCACCTGGCGTCCTCGCGGTGGCACGGCGGCTGCAGGATCGTGGCGCGGGCGGCGCGGCCGCTGGGCCCCGACGCCCCACCTCGGCACACGAGGCGCGGCCACGTGGCCGGGGGACTGCTGCTGCTTGGGTCTCGGGGCTCACGGGACGGGGGTCAACGCAAGCGGAGGTCAGCAGGAGGAGGAGGAGGAGGAGGAGGAGGAGGGAGGAGGAGGAGGATCTTGCAGGATCTTGCAGGATCCTCCTCCTGCAGGAGGAGGAGGAACGAGAGCGCCGGATCTTGCAGGATCCTGCAGGATCTTGCAGGGTGTCGCAGGATCCTGCAAGGCCTGACTGACCCGGGTCCGGAGTGACCCGGTTCAGCAGATCCCCGAAGGTCACCCCCAGGGGCGCAAAGATAATCGCGCTTCGGGTCGCGTCCTGTGGAGCAGTCCTTCCCCACGGCGGCATCGCGGGGCCCGATGTGCGAAGTTAGGTGGCTCAGGTATTGCAGATAACCAGGTCACTGGGATGTTCCCTCACTTCGGATCCGCCGCTCTTCGAGCGATCTTGTAAGTGGGGCGGAATTTCCCGACCTACTTATCAAGTTTCTTAGTTTCTTTGATGCTGATTTTCACACTACTTTGCTGTCGTTCGTTCGCGCCATACCTCTGCGGAGTTATCAGCCCTGCTTTTCGGAGGCGTAGATTGCCGCTCTCTGTGTTTTCGCATCGTTTGTGGGTGCATGTCCGACACAGTTATCGAAGTCGGAGAATCCGGCGGATCCGCAGTCAGGGCCCCCCTCTCCCCACATTCTACGTATGGGAGTAGGAAAACAGTACAGGTCAGCTCTCTTGACCCTCCTCCTCGCTACGCCTTTTTCCCCCCCCTCGAGGAGGAGGGGGGGAGGAGGAGGGCCGAGAGAGCTGACCTGTACAGCTTTCCATTTTTCCTAGCGTAAACGTTTTTTGTCCGGCGTGTGCCCGACGCCCCTGCGACCAGCGGTGCGCCAGCGCGCTCGCGGTGGATGAGGGACGTCTGCCAGGGACGTGCGGAAGAGGAGGTGGACGAGGAGGAGGAGGAGGAGGAGGAGGAGGAGGAGGAAGAGGAGGAGGAGGACTACGACGAAGTAGGAGGAGGAGGAGGACGAAGGAGGAAGACGAGGAAAAGGATGACGAATGCGGAGGAGGAGGAGGAGGAGGAGGAGGAGAGGGTGGGGACAGTGGGAGGAGAGGAGGAGGAGGAGGAGAGGAGGAGGTGAGGAGGAGGGGAGGAGGAGGAGAGGAGGCGAGAGGAGGAGAGGACGAACGACGACGACACGACGACGACTACGAAGGAGGAAGAGGGAGGAGGAGGAAGAGGAGCGAAGGAGGACGACGAAGGATAGGAGGAGGAGGACGACGACGAATGACAAGAGCAGGAGGACGACGAGAGGAGGGGGGGGAGGGGGAGGGGAGAGAGGAGGTGAGGAGGAGGAGGAGGGAGAGGAGGAGGAGAGGATGAGGAGGAGGAGAGGAGAAGGAGGAGGCGGGGGGGAGGAGGAGGAGGAGGAGAGGAGGAGGAGGAGGAGGAGGGAGGAGGAGAGGAGGAGGAGTGAGGAGAGGAGGAGGAGGAGAGGAGGACGAAGGAGGAGGAGGAGGAGGACGACGAAGGAGGAGGAGGAGGAGGAGGAGGAGGAGGAGGGGTGGCCACTATCCTTGCCACCTCCTGCAGATCCTTCGCCCTTCGAGCGCGGCAGGCCACGCCGACGTCCTCCTCCAGGCTCAGCAGCGGCAGCCACCCCGACCCGGGCTGCTGCTGCAGCTGGGGGCAGGCGCCGCCCGGCCTCCCGCGCGCCGCGGAGGGGGGGCGGGGGGGGGCGCGGCGGCGGGGCGCGAGCCGTCGCCGATCTCGTAGGTGGCGCTTGGGGGGCGCTTGCCTCGCCCTCCTCCTCCTCCTCCTCTTCCTCCTCCTCCTCCTCTTCCTCCTCATTCTCCCTGGGTAAGATGAAGAAAAACGTTGAGGTCTTTCTTGGCGGCTTGCGCGGCCGTCTCGAAACGTGAAAACCTCCATCCCCCCCCCCGCCTTAACCCCCCCCCCCCTCCCCCGTAGGGCAGCGATCGCCTCGACCCACCCCTCCCCTCCTTATGCCCGCGCCCTTCCCCTTCCAATGCGCCCCTCTCGTCGGCATCTCGGTGCTCCGCTGGTCTCGGCGCGGCGCTCGAGGCGGTCCGGACGCGCCGCGCACGCGCGGGCCGGCTGAGCCGCGGGCGCAACGAGAACGGAAAGGACCTCCCTCAGAGCGTGAATTATCTACCCCGCTTTCGCTTCCAGGCAAAACCAAGCCATACCACGCGCCTCCTCGTCAAGCGGCCTGACCAGCACAGGCTGCAATTTGGCATCGTTTGGTATCTCTTGGAAGCGAGGGTAGGTAGGTTTGTTTTCCCCCTGCTCCCTCCCCCTGCGGTTTGCTTGCGACAGCTGTGGCACAGAGGCGGTCGGGCCCGTGGAGAAGGAACCATTTTCGTTGGGGAAGGGCTCAGTGTTCCTAATCCGTGTTACAGCTTGTCCGAGGTTTTCCTTAGGTCTTCGATGGGAAATCAGAGTTTAACTTCTGGAGAAAAAGGATGGCTTCGTTCCTTATTTAGGGCTCCTTATGGCAGTGTTTCGATTGCAGGAGGGACGACTTACCACGCACGCGACGGCCCACATCTGCGAGACCACTGTGTAAAAAGCCCCCGTCCGCCCGCGCCGACCCTCGCGGATCCCGCTCCCGGCGGCGCGCTCCGCTCCGCTCCGCTCCGCCTCCTCCTCCTTTTCCTCCTCTTCCTCCTCTTCCTCCTCCTCCTCCTCCTCCTCCTCCTCCTGGTCCGTCATCGGGTTCTGCACAGGTGGAGCCTCCTCTCTCCCCCCCCCTCCCCCTCCCCCCACCCCGTCCTCTGTTTCTGCTTTTGGTTATGTCGGGCCTGTCCCCCTACAGGGGGATTTTCGACGAAAAAACAAAAATACCCAAAAAATACCCCAAGAAGGTCAACAAATACTCAAAACATGGTCCCGATATTATGTTTGGACTATTTTTTGATTAGTTTCGGGGTATTTTTCATTTATTTTTCGTCGAAAATCCCCCTGTAGGGGGACAGGCCCGACTTAAGCTGATGGTTCGGCCTTCGCGTTGGGCGGGAATGGCAAGTGCTGTTTCGTCTGCAGGAGCTCCGCCGCCACTTGCCACTCTTCAGGAGGGGAAGAAACACACAGACACAACTGATCCTCGATCCCCAGGAAAGTATGGGAAAATATGGGAAGTGGGGGGGAAGACAATAACCCAGAAACTATGGGAAAATATGGGGAATCTTTTTATTTGTGTGTCGGAGGTGAGGGGGTGAGATCGAAGTGGAACGGAGAGCCCCCCCACCGGGAAATCGATTTCGGTTTCGTGTTCGTGCGTGCCGTGCGGGCGAGGCGAAGCTGCGTGGGCGGGCGAGAGAAAGTCTCCTGTGGCTGAGGCGCGGCCGGACCAAATGTCTCCCTTCCGGGCGGCCGGGGGCCCGCGGTGTCCCGCCGGTGTCCCGCTGGTGTCCCGTGTGGCTGAGGCGCGGCCGGACCAAATGACTCCCTTCCGGGCGGCCGGGGGCCCGCGGTGTCCCGCCGGTGTCCCGTCGGTGCCCCGTCGGTGTCCCGATAATGATGATGTTGATGATGATCATGATGATGATGATGATGATGATGATGATGATGATGATGATGATGATGATGGTTGTGTTGATGGTGATGATGATGACGATGATGGTGTCCTGGTGATGATGATGATGATGATGATGATGATGATGATGTTGATGATGATGATGATGATGAGATGACGATGACGATGATGTTGATGTTCTGCCCATTGTTGTTGATGATGATGTTGGTAATGCTGATGCTGCTGATGATGATTATGGTATCCCGATGATGATGATTATGACGGTGGTGATGATGATGGTGATGGTGATGGTGTACCGATGATGATATTGATGATGATGATGATGATGATGATGATGATGTTGGTGATGATGATGCTGCTGATGATGATGGTGTCCCGATGATGTTGATGATGCTGTTGATGATGATGATAATGAACTGATGATGATGATGGTGTCCCGATGTTGTTGATGATGTTGACGATGACAACGATGGTGACCATGATGGTGACCCGATGATGATGATGCTGATGGTGATGATGACGATGGCTGTGTCCCGCTGGTGATGTTGATGATGTTGTTGATGATGATGAGATGACGATGATGTTGATGTTTCTGCCCGTTGTTGTTGATGATGATGTTGGTAATGATGATGCTGCTGATGATGATTATGGTATCCCGATGATGATGATTATGACGGTGGTGATGATGGTGATGGTGATGGTGTACCGATGATGATATTGATGATGATGTTGGTGATGATGATGTTGCTGATGATGATGGTGTCCCGATGATGTTGATGATGCTGTTGATTATGACGATGATGATGATGATGATGATGATGATGATGATGATGATGATGATGATGATGATGATGATGATTAAATGATGATGATGATGGTGTCCCGATGCTGTTGATGATGTTGACGATGACAATGATGGTTACCATGATGGTGTCCCGATGATGATGATGCTGATGGTGATGATGACGAAGGCTGTGTGCCGATGATGATGATGATGATGGTGATGATGATGTTGCTGAGTATGATGAGATGATGATGGGGATGATGATGATGGCCTGATGATGATGGCGTTGATGATGATGACGATGATGATGATGACGACAGTGTCCCGATGACGATGAAAATGATGGTGTTGGTGATGATGATGATGATGATGATGATGATGATGATGATGATGATGATGATGATGATGACGTTGAATGTTAGATCGATTGTGATATCGGTAGTGAGATCGATAGTGAGACCGAATGTGAGATCGATTGTGAGATCGATAATCAGATCAATTGTGAGACCGAGCGAATGAGATATATCGAGTGAGATCGATGGTGAGATCGATCGAGTGAGATCGATCGAGCGAGACCGATAGTGAGATGGATAGTGAGACCGATCGAGTGAGACGCTGCATCCTCCCCCCCCGAACCTCCTTATCACCCGAAGGGTGGTCGTATAGGTATTTATCTGTGTGTTTGTGGGCCCCTTCAACTCTTCTTGCGTGAAGGGACCCCCTGCTTCCAGCCCAGTCCAGGAGGTGCACACGTGTTCCATTCTCCCAGGGGTCGTCGTTTACACATTTATGGGCATGTGCGCGCGCCTCTCACTTCATGTCGGGGTCGTGTAGAAGTACGTCTTGGGCAGGTGGGTTAGATTCCTGGACGGTTTCCCATGCCTGTTGCAATAGTTTTGGGCTATTGTGTATTGCGTTCTCGCAGTCGGGATTTGATGCTGGCTATCGCGCCTGTCAGATTTGCTGGAGCATCGATCTCGCCAGCCAAAGGCAGTCTCGAGTCAAGACCGCTGCCTCGAGAATGGAATATCTGGGGAGTGTGCGGGGCGGGCCTTGCCTTGGGGTTCCCGTGGGGTGCAGCGGGGCGCCCAGAGGCCGTCTGGGGCGTCTTGGAGGCCTCTTGGGCCGTCTTGAGGCCCTCTTGGGGGCGTCTTGGAGGATTATTCGGGCGTCACACGGGGGCCTCTTGGGCCGTCGGAAGGCCGTCGGAAGGCCGAATCGAGCACATGCCAAGCTCCTTCAAACACCTACACAAAATCAGTGTTTTGTGGGCCTCTTCGGGCCCCCCCTAGAGGACCTCTGGGAGGCCACTTGGGCCGTCTTGGAGGCCTTTTGGGGGCCTCTTGGAGCCATCTTGCCGTCTGGGTTGCTTCTTGGGCGGACTCGGAGGCATCTGGGACCCTCGGGGGCCGTCTTGGAGGCCATCTTGGACCATCCCGGGCGACTCGGAGGCCATGTTGGGCCATCCTTGCCGTCTTGGAGGCCATCGAGGCCGTCTTGGAGACGTTGGTTGCGCAGCGGTGGGGCCTTCGGGTGGCCGGCACGCTGGGACGAAGCCCCACGGGGAGCTCTTTTGGGGAAAAGACCGAAAACCAAGCCGTAGTGTTCAGCACGCCGGGCACCCCTGTGGCAAGACCACAGGGGGCGGCGGATCTGGTGGCCTCGGCCCATCGCGCCACCGTGCCTGGGTTGTGGGTCCGAGGCTTTTTGGAGGTTCATTGGGATCTCGTGGGAAGCTTCTCGGGGGCCTCTAGGAAGCAGTTGTGAAGCATCTTGTGGGCCGTTCGAGAACCTCTTTTGGGCCTCTTGGGAGCCTCTTGTGGCCTCTTGGGGCTTTTTGGGGGCCCCTTGGGGCCTCTCGGGGGCCTGTTGGGGTTTCCTGGGGGCCTCTCAGGGCGGAATGCTCGAATCGTCGATTCATCTTCCTACTCTTGGGACCGTCCTGGGGCTCTCATGGGCCGTTCGTTTTGGGTGCCTCTTGGGCCGTTTCCGGGCGGTCTTGGAGCCCTCCCAGGGGGCCTAGAGGGTTGTCTTGGGGCAGTTTTGGGTGCCTCTTGGGTCGTCCTGGAGCGTCGGAAGCGCGAGAAGGTGAGAACCTCAAAAGCACAGAAACAACCACTGGGAAACAATAATGCTCGCCCCTTGGGGGCCTCGTGGGCCGGCGTGGCGGCCTTGGCTGCGTTGCCCCTTCCCCAGCCCAGCCGCCCCCGCACCCTTCCTCCTGCGGCGCGGGAGCGGCCCCGGAAATGGTAGGATCCCCACACCTTTCCTTGGCATCGCTCGGACGTGTGCATTTTTCCTTCGGCGAGGACCATCGAGGAGCATCCTCGATAATTTGGCAAAAAAACAC